CACTCGTGCATATAGCGTATGAAAACCTAGGGTTTCGTTTGGTACGGGTGTTTGTAACGTTTGAGTGTTTTGTTTAGTTTTAGAATATGATCCTTTTAGATTCTTCTGATTTTTCCTTATCGCTGTTTGATTTTCAGTAGTTTTGCTTGCAGGGTATAGCTCCATACAACGTTTGCTGAACTTTTTCTAAATATTGAAAGGAAAAATTTAAAATGAAATCTGATCACATAAATTGGGAAGGAACGAGTACATATAATGAAAAGAATTTTTAGCGGTTTAGTTGGTTGTAACGTTGTCCTCTTTTCTAGGTTGCCTATTCATGACAATTATAGACAGTTACTTGTATTTTTGCTCTTAATTGATTTTAGGTAGTTTGATGGCTAGAAATTTTCTCTAACTTATCTTCTATTTAGTTTTCATAGTGAATTAGGCTTCTTTTTATGGTGTAGGGAAGTTTTACTTCACTTTTCTTGTATGACTTTTGAGGCTACGTTCTTTAAGAACTTGAATTATGTTACACCAAATCACCTAGGCTTAGGCAAATGGGTAACAGAACACTTGGTATTGTAGCCTCTGTGGAATTTGAAACCTTGGTATCCCATTGTCGTCAATAAAACTTCATCAACCTCTAGGCTACACACTTGAGTGCAATTATCAAAAAACTACGTAATGTTTTCAAGTGTTTCTTAATCACAGGCTTTCATCTTTAGGTTGTCTTGTAAGGCATTTATATTGACCTATTTTACAATATTGTATTAACCCATTGCGCCTAAATTCAAAATACACCCTCTAACAATTGGACTACCTCAAAATTTACTTATGTTTTCTCTTTTTCATGAAGTGAGAGCTGCAAGTGCCAAGGCATGAAAACCTCATTTTAAGTGCTAATCTGCTTGGAAGTCTTAACTAAAAGGATATTTGAGTATCCGTCCTAAAAAAAATCTTAACTAAAAGGAAGCCTCTTAAAGAGGTTGAATTAAAAGAAAAGAGAAAGGAAAAACAACCTAAAGCCAGATTCGGAATAGGGAAATTGGTGCTATTGCTTATTCAGTTGATCTGCAAAAAAAAAAAAAAAGATACATAAATATGGTGCAGTGTTTCATTAAGTTTTTCTATTAACTCAGAGAACTGATGAAACTACATTTTCAGGCTTCTTTTGGAAAGAATTCATTTAAGAATAATGCGTCCAGGTAGTTTTTTGGGATAAAAAAGATATTTTTCTATATAATAAAAGTGACCTTGTTGCTTCTTTTGTTTGGGTTGAAGATGGTAGTTTCAATCAAATATACAAGCATTTGGTGCCTGTAGAAGTGAGGATGGCAGTGGTGTACCATTTATCGGTTGTACTGTGGTAAATTGTTTCTTTCGAGATTTTTGTACAAATTTTGTTTGTTCAATGCCAAACCAACCATAGTTTAGGTTAACACACATTGTGGATGTAAAGGATCACAGTGTGATCCCTGTAGTTGTCAGTGGTAGATTCTGGTGGTGATTGTGGGATTTCTTATAGAAAGTAATGAAAAGAATGGAACTGATGATTTGTTTCTTTGGCTTTGGTAAAAGAGGACTATCAACAATGATTTACATCTAGCCATGTGCTTTTCTGTGTTAAGACAAGGTGAACCTGGGTTGGCTGGAAAATACCATTACTTGGAAACCTACCCTCCGATTTTGGGGTTAATTTTCTTTTGCTAATCCGTACAGTCTTGTCTTTTGCCTGGAGAACTATAGTGTGATTGACCCCATATCTGCTTGTATTAATGATCTGTATGGACGTTTTGGTTCCTTTTCCCTTCTTTTTATCTTCTTTTTGTCATCGTTGTATGGATTATAGCAGCCTATTAACATTTCAGAAAATGTCCATATGCACACGCTAATGAGGAGGAAAGCGGCCAACAGTATGATTGATCTGGATGGTTTATTGGTTGCAGGATGGGAATGAGGTCTTTTTCAGAATCAAAAGAAGCACTCAGCTAAAAAAACTGATGAATGCTTATTGTGACAGGCAGTCAGTTGATTTCAATTCAATTGCCTTCTTGTTTGATGGTCGTCGTCTTCGTGGGGAGCAGACTCCGGATGAGGTCTCTCTCTCTCTCTCTCGCACACACACACACACACACACTGTAGAGTAAGCCATAAAAAGGGAAAACAGGGGGTCAGAAACAATAGGACAGAAAATACCCACTCATTCTACTTACTCATTTGCTTACTCATTACTCAGTATCCAATTTTCCTATTTCTTACAATTTTTCATCTTTGCTTCAGCTGGAGATGGAAGATGGTGATGAAATTGATGCAATGTTGCATCAAACTGGAGGCACAACTCTCTGAATCTTCTCCCCTTTGTTAATGGACATATTAGTATGTGTTTTCATGATTCTGAACATAAATGGGACGGGGTTTTGTAACCCTATGACCCATGTAATTTAATGAATATGACCTTGCTTACTTAACTTGCTCCAACTAGGTTGAACTTTATCTTACTGTTCTCCTACAAGAAAATCATGAAATCCGTCTCCTTTTAGCTTTCTCTATCACTAGTTGGAATAATAGAAGTTGAGATATTAGTTTGTTATACCAATTTATGTAGCATTGTTCGACCGGGCAAGGAGTTTTGAAGTTCCAAAGTTACGACACATTTGTATTAAAGTCCTATTGATCCCGACTTGTGGCAGGGCAAGTCTCTGTCCATCCATGCTAACTTCTGGCAATCACTTGTATCACTTGTGGCTAAGTTTTCGTCAACTTCTGACCCGTAAGCTATTTTGGCTAAATTTATGTAAACAGGATCCAAACTTAAATAGCAACTCAGAATGATGTTATTTGTGCAATTCACCCCAAAAGAGTTTGGACAACTGGAGAGGAAAAAGTCTGGAACAATACCAAAACATTGCGCTCATCTTTCAAGAATCTTGCAGAATTGGCTATCCCTTTGAAGGTCTTAAGACTTTGATGTTAAAATTGCTAACTAGTGGCTTTTATAGTACTCCTATAAGTCTTCGCTCTAGTGATCAAAATAGAGACCCTTTAACCTTATTCATGGATTCTCTTTAAAACTAGAACCAGAGTTGTTCATATTGCTTTAGGGGTACATAGATGGAGTACAGTTTTGTGAGGTTTATTGATAGTTCTACAAAGTATTGCAATTTTATACATCGATTTACAGAAAGCGTCCAGTCTAAAATACAATTATTCTCAAAAAACATTTAGAAATGAACATTTACAAACATTTATAAACTCTGTGGTTTAAACCAGAGGCGGATCTAGGATTTTCGGAGGATGGACTCACCATTACTTTTTAAAAAAAATAAACAAAAAAGTTGGTAGGGGATAGGGGACTCACCAGACCTTAAGGTTATTGGAAATAAGAGACCAAAATCAATGCACCACTTCTATCTCTTTTGATCATGGGTTCCATCAAATATATATATTTATTTATTTATTTTTCCCAAATTATGTACATCATATCTATACTTTAACCCGAGGACCACGGGTTCACGTGAACCATTTTTTAGACTGTAGATCCGCCCCTGGTTTAAACCATTTGAAAATAATTCAAACACTAAGCTTTACAAGGTGGTCATAAAGGAGACAACTAATGATCAAGAAACCTCAACTTGGGTTGTAACATCACGAGTTCAAAACTTCAATAACCTCTTAACAACTATTATGCAGCGAAACCTTCTTTATTCCCTCGATAGAGGAAAATATTAAGAGCCCGTTTGGATCATTAGATAAAAATTCTAGCTTTTGGCTTTTGACTTATTTTTGTTCTTTTTAGCTAAAAAAACAAGTGCTTAAAAACACTTTTATTTTATCCAAACACTACAAAATGACTTAAAATCAATTTTGACTTAAAAACTTTTAAAATAAGCCAATCCAAACGGGCTCTAAGTCAACAACTCTGTAAGTCCGTGGCAGAAGTATGTCCCTCCTTTTGATGATGAATGTCGGAAGTCATCTTCCCAAATCACCTTTTAGAGCTCATACCCATTTAACATGCTATTTCCATATCAAAAGGATGATACAACATGACTCAAAAAAGAAGGTTGATCACCCCAATGATCTAGCATCAATGAATGTTTAGTGAAAGCTCTTAAACAAGGCCATTGGCAAGATATAGCCACACATATTTTAAACCCGAGATATGAATCTGTACTCAGATCAAAACATGAATACGCAGCTCAGTTCAATAGAGCTATTTGAGAAACAGGATAATCTATACTTCCTCTGTCCCACGTGGCACACTCTCCTTTTTAGTCCATCTAAAAAAGAACTCATTTCTATATTTCTATAATTAGAAACAGTTTAGAATAAATTGTTCACAAGTCCTTGTGTATCAGAACTTCATCTAGGTGTGAAGCAAGAAGTGTTGAGATCGAAAAACCCCTTGCCTAAAGATTTCTGTTGAAAAACTAAATTTCTTTATAGCCAATAGAAGAACAATAGTAGCATTGTGAAGCCAAAGCATATGCCAGACAACACCAGTTGAAAGTATAGCTTTCCTGTGACACGAATCAAACATATCTAGGATTTTTTATACATTGGAGTCCAACGAGGAATCAAAAATATGAACTGCAGTTTTATTTCCTTTGTTTAAAAAAAAATAAAATTGGAACTCACTCTCCAATCCTCTCCGCCCTCCCCCTTCCCCCAAGAGGCCAATGGTGATTACCCAACTTCTTGGTTGGAAGCGAAAGCGTCTCTATTTTGATAACCTCTATCGGTTATAGGTACTCTCGCTCTGGGATCAGAAGCAATAGCCCCTTCGCGTCCATCTTTTGAAACGTATTAAAGCTATTACAAGTGGAAAAAGACGACGGAATCATTACACTTCCAATGTAGGAACTCCGGTTGTACAAGCTCATGGTGAGTTAAGTCTTTGCAGAAACCGGGATTCATTGCACTCATGAAGAAGGGAAGTACCCCTTGAAGCAATGGACAGAATGGTGGAGTGCAAGAAGGAATTCGTGCACATTAGACCATACAGCGCAGGCAAATGAAAAAGAATGGTCCTGACTTTGTCATTCAATCTCTTTCTCGGGTCCAATATACATGGTACAACATGCTGAAATTAAGATTATTATACATCCAAATAATCTGCCAAAAGATGGAATGATTCTTGATGAGCCCATTCCAAGAAATTGTGAAAGCGCAGCCTGAAATAAAAAAACAATATCGTTCAGTTCAAGTTCAACACAAAGAGGCCTCAACATAATATTAGCAGAAAGCAAAGCTCGACATTGACACACCAAACACAGATGTCTAGTATTAAACTAATTTTCATACAGAAGGAATAAACATAAATAACAGGGGGACTTTCAAATTAATCGCATGGCTGGTCTCTGGCAGAGGAATATGAATTTGCAATGGCAGTGAAGCAAGTACTGTTGACAAGTCCCTAGCGAAGTAGCACCTTGCATAGTTGAATTGCAAAGAGTTCCACATGCACCCAATCCAAGAATAAACCATTCAAATATTTATAACTGCTAGTTAGAGTTTGAATTACGTTACCACATCATCTAAAAGCTTGACATGTTATTGATTTAATTGTATCTCTAACATTGCCCTCAAGTGTGAGCCAGATTTTTTGTGAGTGAAGCATACGGAAATTCTTTAACAATGGTATGTTGGGATTCAAACTTTTTCCTACTTTCACTTGAAATGTGTGAGAGTCCATTGCTCAAATGGTCACTCAATTATGAGAGAATATGCTGTAAAGACATTTTAAAAAAAAAAAAAAAACCCCCCCAGAAAAACCACTTGTTTATACACGTATCAATCTCAAAATCATTTGTCCGGATTTGTCCAAGTTCCGGCTGCCAAATCTAATGTGGCATTTTGTATCAGTCCACATGGACTTAACTAATGCCAAAATTAAAAATAAAACCCGACCTGCAACAACCTGATTTCAATATACAAAAACCCTAGCTCCCTCCTTATTTTATAAAAACAGTGTCTTCCTCATCTCTCAGGCAAGTCGATTAAGGGCATGGTTTCACTCCAGTCCAAAATTTCACTTTTGAGGTTGTTGCGGGTCGAGTTGTTGTGGGTCGGGATTTATTTTTAGTTTTGGTATTAGTTAAGACCATGTGGACTGATATAAAAATGTCACATAAGCTTTTGGCAGACGAAACCTAGACAAATCCGGTCAAGTGATTTTTGGTGTGACATGGTTATAGAAAAGTGACTTTTCTATTACCAAAAAAAGGACTTTACTACATAATCTTCAATAGTACAATAACCATTTGAGCGATGGACTCAATTATATGAACACCTCACTTAAAAGCTCGAACTTTTAAAAAAGAGACTTTTAATTACTTAATACTAGCACTAAGCTACTAACATAAAGAAAACTTCACCATTCCGAAATGTCATTAATTATCAATGTTGTTCTGACAAAATCAAGCAAACAGGTAAGACAACAGACTAATCTTCATCTACAGTTTGTGCAAATAACTTATTGAAAAAAAATATTATGCAGATAAGGCAATCCCTGGTATATAAAGCTAAATTATACAAGAGGAAACTCAACAAACAACTTGATCAGATCTATACCTCAATAAACTGGATATTGGCAACTCTGCTGGTCTTCTCAAGCTGAAGTCCACGTGCTAAAGTTATCTATGGAGAGTAATAGGTTATTAGCACAAATTGGAGGACGGGTCTACGGAATCAGAGTTCCTGATATTGGATCACATGACAGAATTAGAGTTAAGAATAGTACCTCTGCAAAGAAAGCTAGTACACCAAGTACAGCCATTAGAAGGAAAGAATAGAAACTAGGGAGTACAAAATTCTGCATTTGACAAAATAAGACAATTAGAAAAAGAAACTACCGAAAGCCAAGAAGGATAATTATCTATACATTATTAAAAGGTTGCCAAGATAAGAACACCCACACTCCAATCAATACTCATAAATACAGAGAGAGACAGGCCGCTATCAAAACAGAATGGACTAATAAAGGAAGTGTTTCACATAAATTGATACGGAGGGAGTAACTATAACCTCTTTACCAAAAAAGTTGGTTGGCAATTCAAATTATCACTTCACAAATATTTAAAGATGGCCGTCCATTTTCTGAACAATATTATTCATGGAGAGGAAGTTGCCAATAAACAATTATATCCGAAATATTTTTTACACTAGCATCAATGTACATGTCATAGTGAACTTCTGTGGATGCTTAATGAATATATATCTCGGCAAACATCATATGAAAGTTGCAACAGTTCTAATCTACCATGATTAAATGTATTTCCCTTTTATTTCACAAAGAACTAACGGCATGTACGATATCTTACTTCAAAGGCAAATGTAGACATCACAGCAGCAGGACTAGCAAACAGGACAAATGAAAAAACTGGAAGCCTGAAAGAAAAATGTTACTTGCTTAAGAAGCATATTATGAGAGAAAACAGTCAGCTGAATAAACCATAATACAATTAGATATTATAAACAGCTACTACTTACAGATTCTTCAGTCTTTGACTAGTTAACATAGGTAAGAAGGCCAAAGGAGTTTTTACATCTAAATTGTTCTTTTAAAGGACACATGATCACAATTGTTTAAATAAAAAACCTTTGAAAAATCTTGCCAAACTACCTCTACACTTGGTGAGCTTTCGGAGTGACAGCCAGAATGGAAAAAATCTATTTTCTACACGTTGCTGCAGTTCTTTAGAACATGTTGAGGAATTTGACTTATTGTGAGTTAACCAAAGTTGGGTGTGATCAAAGCACAAATTGGAAAATCCTATCTTCCTGGTTGTGATTCTTGGCAAGACCACTGTCTTACATAACTAACCATTTATGTCATGTATGGAATTGATCGGTATTCATGTCCTCCATGTGGTTTAAATCTGTAAAGAAAATTATTCCCTAGACTGACCTACAACAGATTAGAAGGCTATGTTCCTCCATACGCTACAATGAATTACTACACCTTTTCCTTCTCATTAGGGAAAAGAGAGAAAGAGAAAGAATGTCAAGCCAAAACATATTAATAATGATGATACATTCTTAAGATTAGAGAAGCAAGCCAACAATCTTACACTGGTTGATCTGCTGCCTTGGCTCCTGCTCTCGTAAGGCAGTAGGTGACTCCAGTAGCAGCAGATGAAAATAAGCCAACCAAACCAGCAAAAATGTGATGGCTACCCTTGAAATGAGATTCACTGGCTTCTATAGAACTTGGGAAAGCTCCTGTGAGAAAAGCTCCAATACTTTGAGAATTCAAATAAGAAACCAAATGAGATTCTAAGTTTTTCCCCTATTGAGCAAATCAGTCTTTCCAAACATACAACAAGGCACAGTTCATCGTCACTCCTAGTGCAAGCAGTTCATTTCTTCCTATAAGCATAGTATAAATCCAGGCCGCATGCTCAATTTACAGAGGGCAGTAGGTCAGTTATCTACTAGTTCAACCATCAGGCAAACTGGTCGAATCATTTAAAATATAATTTTAAAATGTAAAGGACTATAAAATCAAGTGACTTTGCTCCAACAGAATACATATGAAAATCATACAATTCATGAATGGAGGGCCTTTAGAATGAGTTGGTACAAGTAAATAAACTACCGTATGGGTAGGAAATCACATCCTGGTAGGGATAAAAAGAGCCACTCTTTTTAAGGTACCACAGAGAATGGAAGAATGAGCAAGGCATGAACCACTGCAGGTAGAAGAAAAGGGACAATTGTAAGAATGAAGGTGACACAAGTCCAAGAGCAGTACTCTTAACAGAAGTCGGATTGCGGTGATGGAAAGGATACGGATTTCTTTTTGGGATACTCTTTCTGAATGGGATAAGTTCCCTTCCTACAGGTCTAACAGTTAAAATTTGAAAGCAAAACATTTTTTCCCAAGTTAATTCTCCCACACCCGCAAGCAGAGGCGGACGCAGGATTTAAGTGTGACGAGGCACCACTGTCTTTATATATGCTAATAACTAGCGACAAAGTTTGGGGTGCAACTCTTTGGAAACTTAATGATAGTGATAACTTATCCGCAAAGTACAAACTCTCCGTCATCATCGTCGACACCGTCAGAGTCGATAGTTACTGCTCTTTGTCGAGGTGATTGTTGAAGAGAGAGAAGGGTTTGTATTTTTCTATTTGTGGAGAAAGGAGCTACGGTTTGGGGCTTTTGATTTTGAGGGAGGGATTTGAAAAGAATAAAATCAAGTAGTAATACTAATACTATAATTCAAGAAAGATAAATAAAAAACATAAACCAATTGACTACTAAGCACTAGCAGTATAAACTATCATTAAATTCAATAAAGAAAAAGAAAAACACTAAGGTGCAGGGAGCCGGGTTTCGATCCCCGGTTGCCATAGTATGGAAAGGGGGTTTTGAAGTCCAGTTGACCAAAGCTACCATCCGCCATTTTGTAATTTAGGGGGCACAAAGTAATTTATCTATGGGGTCCTCGATGTATATGCATATACATACAAGATATATATACATTGTTTTCCAGAGGCTAACGGGTTCCGGTGACCCCCCCTACCCTGACAGTAGGTCCGCCCCTGCCCAAAAAAGCTCTCCTTTTTAGGAGGTCTAATATCAAAAGTAGAAATGCNAAGTCCCTAGTTCACTGGGATCTCCCTTAGAAACAAGGGCAGGGTCGGCTGCATTTAGTTCTACTTGTTGATTTACACTTGAATCGTCTGATGCCAACTCCTAATAGTTTGGTACCAACTCTCAAAAAAACTTTGTTAGTTCAGAAACAGTTACAGATATTTAGTTATTTACTATCTTCTGTACCTTGTGGTTTGAACATTGGCTGAAAAATGAACAGCAAACCAAAGAAACTGCTCGCTAAACCTGCAATAAGGCAATAATGATAAAGAATACCCACAAAAGAATAAGAGATAAAAAATACAAGAAATGTCCTCTAAAAGCAAAAGAAAAACCTATTCAAAAAACAGTGGCTTTCTCGAAGCTAGAAACAGCAAATTTCTTGGTTAACTAATAAGAGTCCTCTAAAAGCATATAATTCATAATTCACAATAGAAAATCTCCATTAGACAGATATTCATCTTACAAAAGAGTACATTGGCTTGTACAGTTTTGCCATCAACACTGAAACATCTATTACTCAATGCAGAGCAGCAATAGATGGGAAAGATAACCAAGTTTGAGAAATTGAAAGCATGGCCCAACTGATAGACAAACTGGAAGTGTTGAAGGAACTCTCAGATGATCCTGATTCCTTAAGCTGGCAGATGGTAAGAAAGGGAACCACTGAATCTAAGATCAATATTTTTAAGCTTTATGGGGCAAAGAAAAAACTTCAAATTTTATGTTACCTTCTCAAAAAGGAAAATTCAACTTTTCAATCATATATTTTCCCACCCTCAGAGCACCAAAAAATAAGGAGGCTGTCAAAGAGAAGGAACATAGAAGGATCATACATTGCAATGGACTTGCAGTGTTGTATGGTGAACACAAGAATAATGTATTATATCCATTTATCTTTCAGTTAAAGGTTCATGGGAAATTCAGATTTTCAAGAATCTCTGCTCCATTCCAAGGGACAGTCTACAAGAAGAAGGAAAAGGACCGGAGTTGCGCAACCAATTTACAATGATGTGTGTACGTTCACAGTTCTCTCAGTTTCACAGGGGTCCAGAAGATTTTCAGATTTTCAACTATCTGCGAGCCCCTAAAACCCAAACGTGAATAATATGGTCTTTTTATCAGCTTAAAAAACCTCAATCAATTTGAAATAGTAAACCATGCACACACCATACAAATTTAAATAACAAAAAAAAAATAAAAATCAACCTGGAGTTCTATAGATTGTGCATATGACCATACCTCCAATTTCTGCAATTTTTAACTTCTCATGCAATGTGACTCTAGCCACAGTTGAAGCCATAATTGGAGCAGTAAAGCTCAATATGATAGCCTGAGACACAGGTAGCCGCTGGATGCTGAAAAATAAAATTGACTGTTTCATGGTTACTAGTAAATCATGTTTTATAGAACAATAAAGGGGATGTAGCATGAACGGAGGAAGGAAATAATTATGGTAGAGTAAATTGACCATGAACAGTGGCATCCATGTTAATGTAAATGAAGGAGAATTCGAACCCATGGGATCCATTTACGTGTTGTATCTGGCTTTTCTCCTTCCAACTTGTTAAATCCCATTAAACTTTGTCCTCAGCACTTCTTATGTATATAACTACTAAATCAAGTGTATAAAACAATTCACCTTTTTATTTTTATTTATTATTCTCAATTGATATTGATAGTCATTTAATATTCAACATTGTGATTAATTTTTGTATTATTCAATTAAAACTCCTTAAGTTAGTTACTTTAACAGCTAGGGATGACAGGTTGGATATGTAACTTTTTCAGGTCTGCAAGATGGAGCCATGTTATTCAAACCCTCAAATAGTCTGAACCCAGATAAGGATGAACTTATAAGTGGAACAACCTGGAAGAATTCATCTCACATCTCCTAAATGTTGAAAGACTGTTTTCTTGCATCCGTAGTAAATATTCTTCTAAACTTATTAATTAGATCGATACCCTCGACATTTTCTGCTTTCTGTTCCTTATTGGAGCGCGGATTGAGGGGTTTAGGGTTTCTTTTCTCAGTCTAAGAAACACTGCTTACCTGTAGATGAAACTCATCAATGAGATGTATCCAGTGAGAGCTCTTAAGACCAAAAGTTTCCTGGCACTTGTTGGTCCAAATATTGGTTGGCCACTTCTCCTCAACCACACAGAGGAAAGAATTAGGACTACCGTACATCTTGCAAAGGCTATCTCAAAAAGAGGTACTGATTGAGCTGCCATTTCCAAAAACAACGAAAAATCATATTAGCGTAAAAGGAGTATACAGTAAAAGCAGTCATGAAACACTGGATACATCTTAAAGTATGTATCCACATACAAAATATGTTGACATATAACAGTAATAACATCAAAACCTTACTCAAGGAACTTCCATATAGAAATCTAAACTTGCATTGCAATTGCCTATTCAAAGGCAGAACCAAGTTAGACGCTATTATACTAGTAGAAAGGATAAGCAATGCCAAAAGACCTCCAGGTTCTGGAATCTGAAGTGGACAATGAGCTAAAAGTTATATTGCTTTGCTCCAAAGTGAACCTACAAACACTACTCTGTCTCGCACGCAAGTGCAGGGCTCTTCTCTCGAGAATTACTGCGTTCTGCTCAAACCCGTGGTCCTTTGACTCCTCATTTGGCCTAGACGATGTGACATACTCGTAAGTATCAGCAATAACATGGGTTTAGGTACTTCATAAGATCCTTTGATATACACTAAAAACCTGCATGAGTCAGCTTCATAGCAGAATCCTGTTCTCATACTCTAAATCCATAAGATATAGGCTTAAACAACATACTGAAAAATTGCTGCAGTGTTCCAAAGGAGCCTACCCTTCGCCGACCATATCCATGAAAATTGTAATCTCTAAATGTCATAGGAAAAACAAAGTGCTCATATCAACCCTGAAATAATCTCCTGACAACCCAGTGCAGAAGGCGCTGCGAAAAGAGCTTGGATATAATATGCACTATCCTGTCTCTCTAGATATATGAACAATACAACAGCTAAGAGGGAATCTGGCACCAGTCCCTCCTTCCCTGGTTTTCCTCCAAAGAAAATCCAAGTTGACTTAACAAAGAAGAAAAAATAGTCACAATGACTCTCTCTCTCTCTCTCTCTCTTCCCCAAGGTAAAATTTAACTATCATCTTCAATTTGTGTGTATAGAATGGCAGGTTATTGTATGAAGATCAGTTGCCCACAGATGAAAGCTTACGCTGAACTTAGCCGACTATCAGTTTCAGGCAGGAAACAGGACAATGACATCTTTGTATTTCTAAGTTATCAGTAGCTACATTGATATATGTATATAATACACATGCAAATGTTTTAAATAAGTTACTGACCAGTAAAAACATCTGAAACAACTCCCATTGTTGAGTAGATTATAGATGACAAGACCATGCATAGCAGACCGGAGTACCTCGATCCACTCCACAGCCAGACAATAAACTGCAGAAACGGCGATTTGTCTGGTTCAACTACTTTTATAACTTCCTCCTGCAAGGTGTCAGAACCTAATTAAGCATGAAAAAGTACAAGAATTATTTTGATTCATGTCACAATATCATAAACCGTTAGAATAAATCACGAAAGCAGAACATTTATCCACACAAAAAGAAAAGCACCAGAGCAGGGAAATATAATATGCAAGTAGGCATAGGCATTTTTGGGCTTGTATAAAGTACTGGGTTCGTGATAAAGAAAACAACAACCTAGCTAAGTGCAAAAACAAACTCTGAGCATTCCCTCCTTGAGGAAGTCACAGTACGGGGTAAAATAAATGCATAAATATTAGCATCACGACTAGAAGTTGCCTAAAGAAAGGTCATTCCTAGAATCTAAGGTAGAATAAGTCAGCATGCACGTCTGATGATAGAAGCACATTCACTTAGATAGAAAAACACTTTATAGCTACATAAGAATACTGCTAAAAAGAAAAACATGCCATAGTAGTAATCATGTTACATTCTCCGGACTTAACTGTATCAAAATCTCTCTCTTACCTGATGTATGTTGTGAATGCGTCTCAACTGTTTCCAAAATAGAGGATGCTCAATACATTCAACATGCTATGTATTTTTAAATAAACAAAAAGAGCTACCTTTTTGCAGAAAACTTCAACATTCTATTGATCTCTCTTTTTCTTCGTTCTTCATTTTGGAAATTTAACGCTAGGTACTGCACTCAAAAGGGAAACAAACATACCATACTCCCTTTTGTCCCATTTGATATGACACTATTACTGTTGAGGCAAAACAATTTTTTACTACAATCTTTTCAAATATTTCACCCTGATACTCAAATAATTAAGGATTTAATTCATATACACCGACAATGTAAAGGTTTTTCTACACTATTGGCGCTTTTTAACTTGTATAGTGGTTCAGTTACCATTTTTACGAGGTTACCTATATGCTTGTCAGAAAATTGACCTGTAGTTACCTTATTTATAACTTTATTGTGTAAATATGGTAACATGATTAGTGCATAGAACTAAAACCTAATAATTAATGACTGACATTATTCATTGTATAAAAACTTAGATATATAAAAGTTGCATTTTGACTAGTCCTGTAACTAAAGAACTGGCAACTGAAAATTCAGTAAATGAGCTCTGCAAATTTACAAATTTAAAAAATAAAAAATAAAAAAAATTAATGATTTCAAAATTGGAGTTCACCTTATTGAGCTTTTGCCTAGTAGGATAAGAGATGGTGAAGATGTTGATCTTAGGCCTCTCTGATTGGGTCAACAGAGGAGCAATTTGATCATCATCACAAATGGAAATTGAAGATTCAGCTGTAGAGGAAGAATCAACGGCTGTGATCGAAGACGGTCCCACCATTTCCACTACACCGATGGCGTCTTCAATGTCGTTGACTCCGATTCTTGTGCTGCCGTCGCCGTTCATCGGCTCTGCTATCGGCATTGTGCCCGTGTTTTACAATCTGGCAAAGGCGAAATTTGATTAATGGATTTTGTTGATCCGTCAATTCGAGACGGGTTTGGGGTGGGAATGTCGGGTACAGTACTCAAAGTTCAGACGTCGACCTAGACCCTCGTTTCATTGTTTGAAGTACATTTGGACGGCTAACATGTCAACTTCAGTTGCTTCATTTAGGTGGAAAACATTTCTTCTTATGGTTCATCGAATGAAAAATTGAATATAATAGGTTAAATCAAAAATATATGTGGAGTTTATAAAGGAAGTGATTCCTTTACAATTAAAATAGAAAAAATTAACTTTACTAAGATCTTTTATACAGAGTATATTTTATTTACACATCTTTTGTGTTATTTTTTATGAATTATCTGGTCGTATAACTAAAATAATATTTATAAAGAACTAGACTATTACATTTAACTGAAACTGTGAAGAAAAAATATTTAATGTGTACTCACATTTGGAGGTGCAATTTTTGATAATTTTGATCTATTTTTATGTTTGTTGCATATTTTTGGGATGTAATTTATGCTCTGTTTTTGTGTGTGTGTCTATTTTTGGTATGTGATCCAGTTTTCGGTGTTGCACTTTCTTGAATTTGATGGGACTTTCTTGCTATTCCTAGTTAGAATTTTCTTTTCACAATTCAGTAGATTTAACCGCCTAGTTTGTTAAGTACTTAATGGAGGCCAAAAGTGCTTGCTTTGGGAGCACATAAAGGACTAAACTGCTCAAGAGTATAATTTCAGGAACTATTTTCTATTTATCTTCAGACATAATGGACCATTTTTGTCATTTCTCATCATTTGTTTAATCAACACGAGTGAGGATGTTCACGATTCACGTTGAGTTGAGTTTTCCCTAAAAAGAAATTAAATAAATTTAGTGAATTTTTTAAATAATTAGAACCAAACTAATTAAGTCGAATCGATTCAATTTTTGCCTGTTTCATTGACTTATTTGCTTTATTTTTTTTTGGTTTTTTTCCCTGGTATATATATACACATGTCACACCTCCTTTTTGCGCGCCCGCCCCGAAGGGTTAAATGCGCGAGAGAGTTTTTCCAATTTAAGTGACAATATTCGAAATGAGATTATTTATTTAATTCAGAGTCGCCACTTGGGAAAGGTTTGGCTTTTGGTGTCCCAAGTCACCGGTTTATCTTGAATCCCAAATCGAGGAAATTTTCGACTTTTCCAAATGAAGTCTGCGAACCAGAAATTCTAAGTAAGGAATTCTGTTGACCCGAGGGAAGGTGTTAGGCACCCTCGAATCCCGTGGTTCTAG